TTCGCACTAACTGCATGTAAATGTAAATCTTTCCTCTACTACTTACAAAGGGTTAAACTTTTCATGAACATCTGTTACCTCTTTAGTACGAGCTTGAACTAATTATACAGGTGAAAATATGGTCTATTTCCCACAACTGTAATTAAAATCCTACACTAAGAATCCTAGTAACGCTGTGTAGGTCAACACGACAGAGATATTATTTATATCTATATTGGGTATGAGTTCAGAAAACTCTGAATTCATTCACATAGAATGAACAAAATTACATTTTCCCTATAGGTAGTCTCTAGAGATGAGTGAACCTGAACTGTAAATTTCGGGTTCGTGCCGAACATTAAGATTTTTTGACCTCAAACCTGAGCCTGGATATTTCAGTAACAGTTCGGGTTTGAGTTTGGTGTTTGGCGATTTAATGGCGCATTTTGAAAAGCTGCAGGGCAGCCAATCAACAAGTGTTTGATTCGTGTGCCCTTAGAAGCCATCACAGCCATGCCTATTAATGGCATGGCTGTGATTGGCCAGTGCAGCATGTGACCCAGCCAATATATAATCTGGAGTCACATGAGCTCTTATTAGTGTAGGGAGAGGATGCTGCAGCTGTGAGGGACAAATTAGGAAAGAACACTGGTGTTGAATCTGCAAACTACAGCGATTATTTTTGTGGGTGCTATACTACATTTTTGTACCCTGCCCTGAGCCCAGTGCCACAGAGAAATAAGCAATCAGTCTGTTTGTTAGGCGGGCAACTTTTTTTGGTGCTAAAAAGTAAATTTGTGGCGTGCCCTTCATATCTGAGAGTCAAATAGAGCCGTCAAATACTGTGGTTACATCGCACTTTTAAAAATGCACATTTTTTTGGTGCTAAAAAGTAAATTTGGAGAGTGTACTTCATATATGACAGTCAAATAGAACCATCAAATACTGTGTTTACATAGCAGTTTGAAAAATTTAAAAATTTTTGGTGCTAAATAGTACATTTGCTGCCTGCGGTGCACTTCATATCTGAGAGTCAAATAGAACCATCAAATACTGTGGTTACATCGCACTTTTAAAATTTCACATTATTTTGGTGCTAAAAAGTAAATTTGGGGCGTGCACTTCATAACTGAGAGACAAATAGAACCATCAAATACTGTGGTTACATCGCACTTTGAAAAATGCAATTTTTTTGTGTGCTAAATAGTACATTTGCTGCCTGCAGTGCACTTCATAATTGAGAGGCAAATAGAACTGTCAAATACTGTGGTTACATCGCACTTTGAAAAATTCTAATTTTTTGGGTGCTAAAAAGTACATTTGTGGCGTGCACTTCATATCTGAGAGTCAAATAGAACTGTCAGATACTGTGGTTACATCGCACTTTGAAAAATTCACATTTCTTTGGTGCTAAAAAGTAAATTTGGGGCATGCACTTCATATCTGAGAGTCAAATAGAACCGTCAAATACTGTGGTTACATCGCATCGCACTTTGAAAAATTCGAATTTTTTTGGTGCTAAAAAGTAAATTTGTGGCATGCACTTTATATTTGAGAGTCAAATAGAGCCATCAAATACTGTGGTTACATTGCACTTTTAAAAATGCTAATTTTTTTGGTGCTAAAAAGTAAATTTGGAGAGTGTACTTCATATCTGAGAGTCAAATAGAAACGTCAAATACTGTGGTTACATCGCAGTTTGAAAAATTCAAATTTTTTGGGTACTAAATAGTAAATTTGCTGCCTGCAGTGCACTTCATATCTAAGAGTCAAATAGAGCCGTCAAATACTGTGGTTACATCGCACTTTTAAAAATGCACATTTTTTTGGTGCTAAAAAGTAAATTTGGAGAGTGTACTTCATATATGACAGTCAAATAGAACCATCAAATACTGTGTTTGCATAGCAGTTTGAAAAATTTTAATTTTTTTGGTGCTAAATAGTAAATTTGCTGCCTGCACTGCACTTCATATCTAAGAGTCAAATAGAGCCGTCAAATACTGTGGTTACATCGCACTTTTAAAAATGCACATTTTTTTGGTGCTAAAAAGTAAATTTGGAGAGTGTACTTCATATATGACAGTCAAATAGAACCATCAAATACTGTGTTTACATCGCACTTTTAAAACTTCACATTATTTTGGTGCTAAAAAGTAAATTTGGGGCGTGCACTTCATAACAGAGAGACAAATAGAACCATCAAATACTGTGGTTACATCGCACTTTGAAAAATTCAATTTTTTGTGTGCTAAATAGTACATTTGCTGCCTGCAGTGCACTTCATAACTGAGAGGCAAATAGAACTGTCAAATACTGTGGTTACATCGCACTTTGAAAAATTCCAATTTTTTTGGTGCTAAAAAGTAAATTTGGGGCGTGCACTTCATATCTGAGAGTCAAATAGAACCGTCAAATACTGTGGTTACATCGCACTTTGAAAAATTCAAATTTTTTGGGTGCTAAAAAGTACATCGCACTTTGAAAAATTCAATTTTTTTTTGTGCTAAATATTACATTTGCTGCCTGCAGTGCACTTCATAACTGAGAGGCAAATAGAACTGTCAAATACTGTGGTTACATCGCACTTTGAAAAATTCCAATTTTTTTGGTGCTAAAAAGTTAATTTGTGGCGTGCACTTCATATCTGAGAGTCAAACAGAACTGTCAGATACTGTGGTTACATCGCACTTTGAAAAATTCACATTTCTTTGGTGCTAAAAAGTAAATTTGGGGCGTGCACTTCATATCTGAGAGTCAAATAGAACCGTCAAATACTGTGGTTACATCGCACTTTGAAAAATTCAAATTTTTTGGGTGCTAAAAAGTACATTTGTGGCATGCACTTCATATCTGAGAGTCAAATAGAACCGTCAAATACTGTGGTTACATCACACTTTGAAAAATTCAAATTTTCTTGGTGCTAAAAAGAAAATTTGTGGCGTGCACTTCATATCTGAGAGTCAAATAGAACTGTCAGATACTGTGGTTACATCGCACTTTGAAAAATTCACATTTCTTTGGTGCTAAAAAGTTAATTTGGGGCGTGCACTTCATATCTGAGAGTCAAATAGAACCGTCAAATACTGTGGTTACATCGCACTTTGAAAAATTCACATTTCTTTGGTGCTACAAAGTACATTTGGGGCGTGCACTTCATATCTGAGAGTCAAATAGAACCATCAAATACTGTGGTTACATTGCACTTTTAAAAATTCACATTTCTTTGGTGCTAAAAAGTAAATTTGGGGTGTGCACTTCATATCTGAGAGTCAAATAGAATCATCAAATACTGTGGTTACATCTCACTTTGAAAAATTCTAATTTTTTTGGTGCTAAAAAGTAAATTTGTGGCGTGCACTTCATATCTGAGAGTCAAATAGAGCTGTCAAATACTGTGGTTAGATCACACTTTTAAAAATGCAAATTTTTTTGGTGCTAAAAAGTAAATTTGGAGAGTGTACTTCATGTATGACAGTCAAATACAACCATCAAATACTGTGTTTACATAGCAGTTTGAAAAATTCTAATTTTTTGGGTACTAAATAGTACATTTGCTGCCTGCAGTGCACTTCATATCTAAGAGTCAAATAGAACTGTCAAATACTGCTCTGACATAGCAGTTTGACTAATTCACAATTTTTGGGTGCTAAAAAGTAAATTTGGGCCGTGCACTTCATATCTGAGAGTCAAATAGAACTGTCAAATACTGCTCTGACATAGCAGTTTGACTAATTCACAATTTTTGGGTGCTAAAAAGTTCATTTGGGGCGTGCACTTCATATCTGAGAGTCAAATAGAACCGTAAAAAATTCACATTTCTTTGGTGCTAAAAAGTAAATTTAGAACGTGCACTTCATATCTGAGAGTCAAATAGAACCGTCAAATACTGCTGTGACATAGCAGTTTGACTAATTCACAATTTTTTGGTGCTAAATAGTAAATTTTCGGCCTGTGGTGCATTTCTTGCAGTCCAATAAAACCGTTAAATACTACTGTTACATTGTTGGTTTAAAAAAAATCACACTTTTTTGTGCTAAATAGAACATTTGCGGCCTGCGGTGCATTTCTTGCCTTCCAATAAAACCCTTAAATACTACTGTTACGTTGTTGGTTTAAAAAAATCACACTTTTTTGTACTGAATAGAACATTTGCGGCCTGCGGTGCATTTCTTGCAGTCCAATAAAACCCTTAAATACTACTCTTACATTGTTGGTTTAAAAAAATCACACTTTTTTGTGACAGTGAAATAACTGTATTAGTTACGCCTGTCACACTGTTGTGTGACCTCTAGAAATTTTTTCTCTTTAGGACACCTGCACTGCCTTACTGTCAGTGAACTTAATTGTTGACTATTGGTGGTTACATTGTCGCCTGACATAAACCATCTGTTAGTTTGGGCCTGAGGTGGATCGGAGTTTAGCGTGTGTCCTTTGGCCACCAAGGATTGCAGGGCATTTCTCTTTGCCTCCTGTTGCCTCCTCCTCCTACTCCGCTTCCTCCTCCTACTCTACAACCTCTTCATCCGGTCAGCGTAACACCTTCACCACCAACTTCAGCACAGTCAGGGGGAAACGACAGCAGGCTGTTTTAAAACTCATATGTTTTGGGTGAAAAACCCCACACTGCGCAGGAGCTGTGGACGGCCATGGAACAACAGACCGATGAGTGGTTGTTGCCACTGAGCCTCAAGCCCGACCTGGTGGTGTGCGATAATGGGCGAAATCTTGTAGCAGCTCTAGGCCGAGCCGGTTTGGCGCACATCCCTTGCCCGGTGCATGTGCTGAATTTGGTGATGCAGAAATTCCTGAAAAACTACCCAGATATTTCAGAGCTGCTACAGAAAGTGTGGGCCGCCTGCGCACGTTTTTGGCATTCTCGCCCTGCTGCTGCTCGCCTGTCTGTGCTGCAGCGTAACTTCGGCCTTCCCACTCACCGCCTCATATGCAACGTGCCCACAAGGTGGAACTCCACCTTGCACATGCTGGAGAGACTGTGCGAGCAGCAGCAGGCGATAGTGGAGTTTCAGCTGCAGCACGCACGGGTCAGTTGCTGTGCACCAGACTTGCCCTCAAATAGATCCTCGTTAAAGGATTTAAAGTGTACTCTTTCCAATTGCAGGGCCTCAAAAGAGTCCTGTATTGTTATTTTTCGTCACAACCTCCCCGCGTCGGGAGTGGATTATTTGCGCGCCTGCTGCCTTCCTTGGAAGTGGTAGCCGTTTCTCAAGCTCCCTCTCTGGAATCGAACCCTGATTCCCTGTTACCCGTGGTCACCATGATAGGTGCAGAAAGTACCATCGAAAGTTGATAGGGCAGACATCCGAATGCGTCGTCGCCGTGGGACGTGCAATCGGCCCAGGGTTATCTTGAGTCACTAAAGTGCCTGCACAACGACTGCCGAGTTGCCCACATTCTAACTTGTGCTGATAACTGGGTGGCCACCCTGCTGCATCCCCGTTACAAGGACAACGTGCTGTCCTTAATTCCCTCACTGGAGCGTGATCAGAAGATGCGCGACTACTAGCGCACGCAGGTAGATGCGCTGATGAGGGCATTCCCAATTCCAGGACTTTTTTATAGCCATTTTAGTGCCCAAAAGTTCGGGTCAAGTTCGAGACCGAACTTGAACCTTTTGCCGATGTTTGGCCGAACCTGGCGAACTCGAACATCCTGGTGTCCGCTCAACTCTAGTAGTCTCTATTCAGGAGGTCTCAAACAAGTTTTAGCTGGAAGGACTGGAGGCACTTGCTTTTAGTAGCACTGATTAAATTAGATATAATCCTGAATTGATAAATTCATTAATGAATCGAAAGACAGAATAATAAGGAGTGATAAAGCTGAGGGATGTTGATAGACCTTTAACCCCTTCCCGACCCCAGACGTATCAGGTACGTCCGACAATAAACGGTATATATTAATATATTTAAAAAATATATAAAATAAATAAAATAATCAATATTAATTCTCCCCCCCCCCCCCAGCCATGTGGCTCCCAAAACAGCACTGTCTTTCTAAAGGCAGTGCATCATGGGGCTTCTGGGGGTGTCCATAGCCTGCCTCATCATAGGGGCAGGCTAGGGTCATCCAATTACAGCTTGCCCCATTAACAATTTTATTCCAAGTGTGTTCCCCATTTGTCTGATTAGTGTGGATCTCCCTCCCTCTCTTCACTTGTGTTTTAGTGAGAGAGGGAGAGAGATCTGTGTATTAGCTAGAGAGATTTAGAGATTTAGGTATTTTCAGAGCCATTAACCCCTATCTTGCCAGTGGTCACTATAATCACTGGCTCTTGCACAGCAGCACTTTTTTGCTGTCTGTGCATTTTTTTAGGGGTTCATAACTAAGATTATTTTATTGTTCTTTAGTTTCTGATGTTAAGTAATGTGTCATAAAGTTTAGTGCATCTATATGAGCTATTTTTGGTTGGCACTTGACATACTGAGGCATGCTTTCCAGTGATGTGTCGTCTGTAAGGGGTACCTAGAGCAGTTCCCTACCAGATAATTGCTGTCATGATAAAAACATATATATAGCTAGAGGTAAAAGAGGAAATTATGGACATTGGGTCAAATTGCAAATAGTAGATATGGTAAACATGCATTATACAGCCCTGCCTAAGTATAATTTCTCTTTCCCTTCTTCATCTACAGCACAAACTGACCTACTCATAATGATTGATAATTTGGATATGTTTTCAAGAGCAACTGGGCATGTGTAGAACGTGTCCAGTCTGGAAGCACCTTAAACATTCTCGCGCTGCTCCCAGCGGTAATTTCTGAAATGCCTTATTTATTCTTCATGTGAGAAGCTGAACTGGATGCCCGGTGTATCATAGTCCAAAAGTCTTACAAAAGCTAATAGAAAACAATTAAGAGTTTTGAAAAGTATTGAAATTTGGACAAAACACATTAATGTCACTTACTTCAGTGGAGTAAACATGCAAAAGTCCATAAGTTTTACATTGGCCCACGTAAAATAAAATAAATGTGATGCCTTAAACACATTTATCTCAAATAACAAAAATTACAATAATTAAAAAAAAGAATATAAATGTAGTTCCTTGCAAGAAAAAAGGACTCTGGCTCTCATAGTGCAAAACAAAGTAATTAATTACTAGGTTATAAGGGAAAGCTTAATAGTAGTAAAGCTACTAGTAGTATTTCCAATAATAGAACTGTATACGTATGCTGATAATGTGTCACCCAATACCAACAGTGTGTCTTCTAACAATACCTACCCAAACCCCAGCACTTTGTGTTTCTGCTGTAAATGTGTCTCCCACTCCCAGTACTGTGTGTCTGCTAACAGTGTGTCCACTAATCCCAGCACTCAATATGTCTGCTGGCAATGTGACCCCAAGTGCCATCTAGGGTTGTCACCTTTCTTGGAAATAAATACTGGCTGTGCTAATTTGCATAATTAATTATGTATGCATGATGTCACTGGACACAATGTCATGGGATGTTGCTTAACATTTGGAAGAGTAACGTTACGTTACAGTCATACAGACACAGTCATACACAGACATTCAGACACAGTCCTACAATTAATAAAAAAAAATATATAGATATACAATCTAGATCCATCTTCATTACTGGCAGGCGTGCTATGCCTCTATAAACCCTCCCAGCAGAGACCTGACTGCTTACAAGTTTTATCTCTGTGTCCTGTGGTGGAGGGCAGGGGTGTACATTGCAGAAATGTAAAAAGCTGATCTGCCTGATAACCACTTCAGTGCTGGGAAGGCAGGCAGGAGGCAGCCAAAGCACACTCAGAGGAGCACTCCGAGAGGCCGAAGCAGGACAAAGGGGGCGGAGCTAAATATTGATCTGAGACTGAGAGAATCTTCCAGATCTGCAAGTATGTATCTCTACTACATCACACAGAAATACTGGCCCCTGCATTGACGGTATTCCTGCAATACCGTCACCGGCCACACAGCACCAAATACCGACTGTGCCGGTAAAATACCGTCATGTGGCAACCCACCACCACTGTTTGTGTCTGCTGAAGTATGCTACCAGACTCTCCCAGGTTCCCAGGTATTATTGTCTTGTCCTGCATGCTCAAGCCCTTTTTGTTTAATCAAATAAAGAATACATTTTAGACTAGCAGTTTCCTGCTGTCAGGATTACAAGTTGATCCAGCACGCAGAACTGTGTCACACCTAGGACTAAGGATAACATATAACCGGACCTTTAATATGGCCGGACTTAACGTATCCAAGAATAGTCAAAATACTTGCCGAGGTCAGGAACACAGAATCAGACATAACGATGAGGGAAAGCCAAAAGTCAAGGATACCAGAATTCAGTGAAGTCAAAACGAAGCCAAAGTCAAATACCAGAAAATTAAGATCAGGAATGCACTCTTGGATTACCATCAGGATGAAACCACAAAAAGGGCAATGAGCAAAAGAAGAATTGGGTTTAAATACCCCTCCTGTGGATCCGATTGGCTGTAACCGGCCTTTGACCCCAAAAGCAATTACCAGGTTTCCATGCACATGATTGCTGCTCGGCACAACTTTTCCTGTCAGGACAGTAATGCTGCTCAGCACAACTTTTCCTGTCAGGACAGTAAATGCCATTAACCACATTTTTATGTGCGGATGAATATGTGACATCTGCATTGTGAGTAATGCATAAATACACATTTAATTATTTTAATGTCAGAGATATGATACTGCCATTGCATTGCAATGTGCTTGCCATATCTCTGGGCACTCAATGGTTTAAACAAACAAAATAATAGTTTGGTTTGCTTTTTTCTTTGTTTGTTTTACTTTAACAGCAGTTCGATATGTCGTATGAGTCCAGTGGATCATATGGAGAGTTTGGGTTTCCATAGAGAGGGGGTGGTGTCAAATTTTATAGGTGGAGTCTGGCACTGACACCATCTTAAAATGTTACCAGCCTCCAGTGATGTTTCTATTTTGGTATACCACCAAGGTATGTCATGTTAGTCTGTACAGATGTACTATTTTTATGTTTTGTACATTACTAAAACTCAACCATTTTCCACTAATTTCTAAGATTCAAGTCTAATCTTGATAGCTTATGTTAAGGTCCAGATTCCCACCTTTCAGTTTAAGGTCCGGATGTCCCATATGCTTCCAATGGATATTGAGATGCCTTGGCTTCCATATTATTCTACTGCTGTTTTCATTGGTCCTTGGACACATTCGTCAAATTTCTCAAACCTGCTCTGTGCTGTTTCTCTACTATGTATGTATAAGCCGCAAATGATACAGATAATAATGATCCTAAATGGGTTACATAATGTGGACAGTATCTGAGCAAAGCCTTTAGGGCTCCATCAGGAGGCTGCACGAGGGTAGACAAGCTATACCAAGCAGAGGGGCTTTCTGAATTGTATCCTTTTGAAGCCAGAGTCTGTTTATGTAAGTTATTGGAAAAGTCTTGAGGGACCTTGACCTTTGGTCTTTAGTAAGAAGTAATCTGCTTGTTGTGTATATTGTGTATGATCACTGACACATCATTCATTAATGGCAAACACAACTGCTTCCAACGTCTGTTGCTCTGTGTGTTCCGTGTGCCTCTATAGTTATATTTCATGGTCTGACACTAATAAATGTTTGACCCATAGATGGCTTTTCTTCACTTCTATTCCGGGCAGAGCAGAAGATTAAAGTAATTGGAAGAATTCAGAGGAAGGTCACGATTTCATGTAAATCTCACCCACAAGCTGTTGTGTACATCTGTACATGGCCCATTTAAAAAAAAAAAAAAAAAAGACAGAGAAGAAGAGAGAAAACAGGGAACAAGAAAACTGTGACATCCAATTTATCGGACGGCAGCACGAAAGACTGTAATTAAATTTTCTGATCTTGTTATCCAATTTCTCTAGTCACTGCCCACAAACTAGGGGAAGAGAGAGTGAAGGGGAGCAGAGAGGGAGTGGGAAAAATACCCTTCCTTCTGTAAGTGACAGCAGCGGGGAAAATTACTTTTCCATGCATTATTGCTTCAGTTCCACTACACCCTTTTTTTAATCTGTGCGGCTATTTATTTCACAGGAACTCAAAGGCTGGAGATTTGATTAGCACTCTCTCATCTTCACATCCTAATTAAATTGGAGTTTGTGGAGATGGGGAGATGGGAACATACAATTTTGAAGAGAGAAATCGGAGTGAAAACATTTCTGCTTGTTTTTTAATCCATTCTCCTTTTTAGTAAATAGTTAACCATTTCAGAGCCATAAGAACATGCAATACAGTATATTGCTGTAGCATACATTGATAGCCTTTCTTCACCTTAAATAAACTGCATTGAACAGCAGCAGTATGTATTGTATAATAATATGCTACTTGTTTGTTCGAAGGTAAAACTCTAGCACTGTTACTAGAAAGGAAAGGATTCCTTGTGTGATGCCAAAAATATTAACTATCTTTTTTTAAACTAAGTCTCTTGTGCTGAAAATATCAAAAGACATTAATGTTACTGATAGCCTGAAACACTTGCCTTTGGAATAAAAAAGTAAAAGTGTTGTGGTCCATTGGA